TTAAATTATTTTGAATTCTCAAACCACATGCCTAACTCAATATAAGGGTTTTTACATTGGGATCATATATTGGAAACTTACTTTTCATCTTAATAGAATCATCAACCATTTCTTCCTCAACACTAATAGGCTCACCATACTATTAGAGTCATAATACTCACTCTAACATCCCTCATCAACATCACCAATAATTGGTGAGGTTGAATTTGGTTCCATTTTTTTGTTATTATCAATTTCATCCATAGCTATATTCACACCAATTTGTATGCACTCATCCACTTTATTTTTCCTACCTTTTACCCTTTTCTAACATAGCTTTCAATTTAGATCTAGCAGTAACTATTTCTTTGTCATCATGACCACTTAAATACTGAATTTGTATAGAGTAAGTATAATATTTCCCTTCATTGCTATTTCTATCACTTGTATCTTCAATTTTCACCCTAGCCATATCTTCATTTTCTACCATTCTTGCCCTTGCTGCCCAACCACATATTCATTACCTAATCTTGTTGTCTTACATATATCTTCATTCCCTACACTGGCTTCCTTCATTACATTTTCAATTTCTATCCCTTCATTCCTTACTGCCTTAGCTACATATTGATTTTCTACCTTTTCATTCACTACTACCTCAACCACATCTTCCACTTTAGGTGCTATTAATAGTTCAAAAGCTCAAACAGCTTTATCTGTATCATGTACTATATGCACATCAACTATACCAAGATCTGATATATAATTAATCATATTAAGAGTGCTTCTCTTATCATTTACTACCATTGGCCCATAAGCTAGTGTTTTTCCATGTTTCAAATACAATATCAGATTAATATTCTTATACCTAGCCTTATTACTAATGTCTAATAACTCATAGTAAGATATTTTATCAGGACCAACTGTCAAGTTCTCTACTATCTCATATATATATATATATATATATAAGATTATTACCATTACCAATAAAACCCTAACATAATGACATCGTAGAATACAATAATTAAAACTCATATTGCAAAAGTAAAAAAATTAAATTCGAGCAAGAATTATTTCAACAGTAGATAAACTTTTCTTGATTACTTTTCTTTAAATAGAGAGATAAAAATCATTTCAATAATAGATAAAAAATCTATTCACTTTATATGAAATAGACAATGACATAGTGAATAAATAATAAAAATAATTAAAAGTAAACATTCAATCAATGCCTAATATTCATGTTGTTTCCAACTAGTAGTGCTATTTGTTGGATTAGTTTAACATTGATTTAAAAGGTTAATGCACATTTTAAATAAGGCAAGTAGAGAAAAGTGAGTGGTTGAGTACATTTGTTAAAGCAGAACCTAAGTGGTGATATAAAAGTGTGGTAAATTCTCCATTTATTTGTGAGAATGGCTTTTATAATGTCCTTGACAATAAAAAAAATGCAATTATGTCCACAGTCCACTTTTATTCCTATTATTTCATTTAATGGAACTTTTAAAACACAAGCTAAAACTGCCTTTTTTTTTTTTTTCACAATAAGCAATTTAATCTTGAGTGTTGGCCAACACATTGTTTGCGAGTGCCTATACCCTTAATTACTCATACATATAGCAAATCTATATATGGAGCCTTTAGCTCAATGTTGACAACTATTCTACCATTTTAATTAGGCTTTGGGATTAATGGGTTGGGTAGTTTAGGAATTCTTGTTCTTAAAAAATAAGTATAAAAATGTGCATAAAAAATTTCTTACCTATTTTGTTACGTTATTATTCTTATTAGTACTATAAATTTATGTTATAAAAATATTAAGGCTTCTTTCTTAGACAAAAAAAAAAAAAAACCCAAATAGAAATAAAAAAATTATATTTGACTAGCTTCTAGAGTTACTAGTTGGCTTGTGAATTGGGAATTCAAGATTGTAATACTTAAAATGGATATAAGAGCAAAGAAACAAAAGGCTACATAAACAATTATGATTAGCTGCGTATTACAATGGTTTTTTTTTTAAGGATATAAGCCGTTGCAAGGCAAATAGGAAGAGATATGTCATCCTAACTTGAGTATGAGTGGTTTCATGGCATCTAAAGCAGTAATATTTCACATATCACATAATTAAATGGAAAATACAAGTAGAAATATTAAATTTAATACTATCACATATAAATTTCTTAACTTAACCCTTCTTTATACTTTCAGGACAAACCATCTTACTCTCCAAGAAAATTAAATTCAAGTAATAAAAAACAACAAAAAACTCTAAACCACAAAATACCTAACTATGAAGAACAACATAAAAATAAATGTAAATATAAGTAGAAATATTAAATTTTAATACTATCACATATAAATTTCCTAACTTAACCCTTCTCTATACTTTCAGGACAAACCATCTTACTCTTCAAGAAAATTAAATTCGAGTAATAAAGAATAATAAAAAATCCTAAACCACAAAATGCCTAATTATGAAGAACAACATAACAAAAAAAAGTATAAATATTATTTACCTCAAACAAATTTAACCAAAAAATAAAATAACCTTATAAATTTCTCACTTTTGGAGCTTAATATGATTGCAAATAAATCTTGAAAGATGTAAATAGAATCAACAAATGAACCCTAAATGAATGAAATGAACAACTTTTTGAATAGAATCAACTCGCAAAATTAACTATTGAAACAGAATCAATTATTGAAATAAAAAAATATTTAGAGTTAATGTCTTTTTATTTTTTGATTTGGGTAAAACTTGTTTTTTTTTTTATAAATAACTTTTCATTGGATAATATTTTTTTACAAAGTATAAAAAAAAATCTAAATTAATATGAAATATATCTAATCAATTAGTTTTTATTTTTTTTACATGTTATTACGAACGTATTCATTTATCAATTTTTACTAAAATATATTTAAATTATTACAAATTGATAACATTTAAATTTTATTTATATAAATTAAAATATTTAATTTTAAATTAAACAATCACCTAAACATCTAATTTTAATTCGAACATTTAGCTTAATTGAAAATGATAATTGATATTGGAATGGTTTTGTTGCGTTGGTGGCACTTATGGCTGAAACTTAGACACGATAACTTTGGAATTTTGTGGCTGCAGTTGGTCCTCTCAGTTTTACTTTTCCTTGGGCAGGCAATGTCAAATGTCAATGTCAATGTCGGAGATATTTTTATCTACAAGAGAGTCAATCAATGAACTGAAACTTCGAATCTAGTTTAACTCAATGATTTCGTCTTTGCGACATAAAATTTTAAAATATGTTTAAAAATTAATAAAAAGATATTTTTTAATTTTTACTTGTCAATCTAAAATTTAATTTAAATTTAATATATATTTAATATCTAAAATGAATTTAAATCAAATAAAAAAAATAAACCAAATAATCGATTTTCAATTCTTTCAATTTTTTTCATCCTTACATATTATTGTACATAAATGATAGAGTAGCATACAAAAAATACATTAGCCCAAGATGCTTTAAAGATGGCTTTCTATAATTTGAAAAAAAAAAAAAAAAAACCTCTTTTAAGTTACGAACAAGAAAAGTTGTCATTGTTCAAACTCAAGTTTTTTGATTTAATGATTATAAAAAGTTTGTAAGAATATAAAATTTTTGATTTCGTATCAAGACTTTTTATTTCTTTCATGAATTATATCCATCCTACATATATATATATATATATATATATATAAAGTTATAGACACCTATGTCTTTAAGCTATAAATAACAAAGAGTTTATAAATATCCATATCTTTGAATTTCGAGGACAATTCTAATACAAATATTATGATCAATTATGACCAATTAAAGAGCATTTTGTAGCATTTTATTGTTACTTTACTTTAACAATATCTTATAAATGATTTGACATTGTTTGTTGGTTTTTTTTTTTAATTATTTTTTATGGAATAGAGCTATTTTCATTAAAAAAAAAAATCCATGTATCATTTGAGATAGATATAAGAATTAAAATAAAAAATTATGTTTTTAATAATTGAAGATAAAGTGTGTAAAAGAAAAGTAAAATTATTCTAAATTTTGATAGAAGTGTGATTACTTACAAATTGCTCTGTTTTTGGTTGACATTAAAATGAAAACAAATGTTCTGAGATTATATGAAAAATTAATCATTCTCTTAATATATAATGATTTAATCATTTTAAAACAAAAAAAATTATTTTTAATCTATGAAATTTAAACTATATATTCTATTTTATTTTTAAAAATTATATTAATAATTTAAATTACATAAAATTTTAAAAATATATAATTTTAATAAATAAATAAATTATTTTATTTTAATATTTATACACATTAAATACAATAAAAGATAATGTTATTTAATTTTATCCTACCGTAATCTTATATTAAAAAACACATCCCCAAGTACTTTAAATTTCTCTTGATTTCTTCTTCACTTCAAATTTTAAGCTAATACAATTATTCATTTTTCTTCACTTTCAAATGATTTTTACTTTACTTATGTTATAGTATCTCTGAACAAGTACAAGAATGTATCATGTGACGAGTGCCCTGATACAATATGTATAACTGTATATGTAAACTTTTGCAATAAATTCAATTTTTAATTTATATATTTTATTTAAAAAAATGATATGTAATAAATTTAAAATTTAAGAATTACAATTGACAACTACTTTACGTCTATTCTATAAAAAAATTCCTATTACCTAATCATTTTTGCTCTCCAAATTTACTAGTATATTATCATAAAATAAAATCCATATCATCAATTCATCACAATCCACCAGACAACTTCAAAACTTTTTTTCTCTGTTTCAGATATCAAAACAAAGTCACCGTTTAAATTTCATCGCATTTTTTACATAATGTAATTAAATTTATCACACAAATAATTTAAATTTAAATTTAAATGTTAACTTCAATAAAATTAAATTAATATAAATTTTTTATTAAATTTTTTTAATTATAATTATAATCATTTTTTTCAATCATAATTATAATCATTTTTATTATTGTTTTTAATTTCATCACAATTACTATCATCATTTATCTAAATAGAATTTAAATATACTTTATTATTTTACTTTCTAATTGACCGTAACTCAGAGATCCAAGATGCACTCGGATAAAGTACCAATGAAGGAAAAAGCACGGACGACACTTCCAACTAAATTGATTGAATCAGCCTATCAATCAATTGGGAGTAGCCCTAGCTTTCAAGATCTTGGCTCTAAGCTTCACACCAAATTCTGCGAGCTTGTCAGCCTCGGGCAAAACGTCCTTCACAGCCCCATGAGAGGAGAAGCTATCAACCCACTCGAGCAAGCAAGGAGTCTTGGCTTCAGTAAGCAGTTTGATCTCATTATACTTCTCTATGACTTCAATCCAGACCAAGAAACAACCGATTGTAATGTCCAGGTACCCAATATTATCCCCACCAAAGAAAGCTTTCCCTTTGCTGAACTTTCTGAATGCTTCCTCCAACAGCACCAGCCCTTCTTCCACTTGCGCTATTGCTTCCTTTTTAGTATCCTCTGCTTCAGCAACCAACACTCGTCTCAAGGCAGGGAACCACTATATCACACGAAAAGAAAAAAGTGAAAAACAATGAAAACTTGTACAATCAAAAACCGAGCGAGATATAGTCAAGGGTTATTTATACAAACAAATACACCTTGTCGTCAATATAGGCAGCCCAAAATCGAGAATTGGCACGTTCATAAGCATCAGAAGGAAGAATGGAAGGGCCAGATGTCCAAACCTCATTGATATATTGGACAATGATTAGAGACTCACAGATAGACTTATCACCGTGAATGAGGACCGGGACTTTCTTGAAAACAGGGTTCGATTTCAGAAGCAGCTCGCTTTTTGATTCCAATAAATTTTCCTCAATATACTCGTAGTTTACAGATTTGAGGTGAAGGGCAATTCTCGCCCTCAACATAAATGGACTTGACCATGAACCCAAAACTTTCACATCACTCTCAGCCATGTTCTTTCCTCTCACAACCGCAAATAAACAGCAAAGCTTTTGTATATTATAAAGTGCTCACAACCACAGCCTCACCGGCAGCGTTATGTTATATATATATATAGAGAGAGAGAGAGAGACCAATATGATAGTTGGTGTGGTGATTAAAGCTGAGAGAGATTGCCAGATTGGTTACAGCCATTCAATTAGCCTCGCAAATGTGAACCTAGGGTTTTTTTTCCCTTAAAAAGATACAATACCTAAATTTCGGTATTCCAACTGGCCAAGAAATTTCTGTTTTCGAAGCTTACTCTATAATTTAGTCTAAATATTAGTAAATGACAATAAATAAGGCATTTAATACTGTATTGACAATATCTTCTCTTACAGTATTTTTTTTATTGGAGAAAGAGAGCTCAAAACCTAATTTTTTGAGCAAGGTTTACATTCGCACATGCTTCAATTTTTTTTTAGAGTGCAGCATTTATTATTAGATTTAATAACTTTAAATACATATAAAAATAATAAAAAAATATAAAAATGATATCGGTTTAAAATTTTAATAAAAATTTATATTGATTTGATAAAATAAAAATTTATATTGATTTGATAAAATTAAAAAATATATTATATTTTATATATCAATACGAATTATGACATAAAAAATATTTTATTTTACAAATAAATATATTTGAATTGTCATATCCATTTATTATTGAGATGAGATAATATTTATCGTGATGCTTGATAATATTTCTAAAAATTACGTAATGCTTGATAGTAAATCCTTTAATTTTGAAGGTATATAATGAAAATATTTTACCAAAGCTAATCATTTTTACAAGAGTTAGCCTCTTATGTTATAGCAGTTTAGCATAAGGTCCCGCTTCCTGAAAATTTCAATTTGAAATGTTTGTCTAGTATTTTTCAAAGCATATTAAGAAGAATAGCACATGTTCACTTTGTTTTTATTTTCAATTTTTAATAGTTATTGTTAAACTAATTTTTTATCACATTAAGTTATTAGGCATACCAATTTAATTTTTAATCACATTATTAAAGTGTGATATTAGTAACCTTCACTGTCTGAAACAGTACAAGTTATTAGAATCTTAATCGAAAGATATCTTCGGTGAAATCGATCGGATGATTTACAACTCTTGTAAAATGATTGAGTTTATGAATTTTTTTTAAAATTATTTGAATCATTAAAATTAGGAATTCAAAATGCTTAAAATAATATATAAAATCAAACAAAAAAAATCTATCAAATGAAATGGATCGAAATCAAATCAAGTAGATTAAAGAAAAACTTATTGATTGAAGCTCGACCTATAAAAGATTGCATGAACTCGATTCCAAGACAATAAGAAGCAAATGTTGATTGATTAAGTGGTTAAAAGCTTACAATAATCATCAAATCCATTAATGTAAAATTGTTTAACAATGACAGATTTTTCGATAAAAATTCTTCGTTAGTAATTATCGATAGATTATCGACGGTTTATCAATGGATCGTAAAAATTATTATGGATTAACCGACAAAATACCAATAAAAAAAATTTGTCAGTATTTCGTAAATGATATTGGCGCGAGAAATTGGCAAATTGGCTCATGATTTACCGATAAAAATATTCGTCAGGAATCCATAGGTAAAGTTTTTACCGTCAGATTATCGATAGATTTTTTTCATCAATAAATTTTTTTTAAAAAAATTTAGTATAAAAAAAATTGAATGCAAGGAATTTTGGATTACCAACGGATTCCATTAATAATCTGTCAATAAAAGGCAAAAATTTTTTTGAATCATTGATGAAAATTTCATTGGTAATCCATTGCTAAAACGCTTTAAAAATCAAGTCCCTTTCCCTTTTCTTTCTCATTTGATTTGTAAAATCCCTAAAGCTATTTTTTCCTTTCCTCTCTCCTTTCGATCTTCCCTCTCCTTGTTGCCTTCCATGCCGCCTGTGAAACCGCCACCAGCTTGTGAAGCCTTTGTTGCCCGTGAAGCCACTGCCTACCTCACTGTTCTACCCCTGTTATCTCACTCTTTGCCTTGCTCTTTTCATGGTTCCTACCATTTTTGCTTTTTTGCATAGGTACTAACTTAGGAAATGTTAATATGTGTTGAAATTTTGTTGTTTAGGTAGAAATGAGTTTTTTTTTTTTTATTTGAATTAGAAATAGGCATTTATGTTTGCGTTAAAGAATTTGTGTACTTATGTTGAAAAATAAAATCTCAATATCTAACTTTAAACAATAACTTTAAACATGTGTACTTATGTTAGAGAATTTGTGTTGAAATTTTAAGTTCTTAGACTAAATTTGTGTTAAAATTTTGTTCCTTGGCTTGAAATGCATTTTTTTTTATTTAAACTAGAAATAGGCATTTCTATGCTTGTGTTGAAAATTTGTGTACTTGTGTTGGAAAGTAAAATCTCAATCTTTAATTTTAAACAAAATATTATTGCATATGTACTTGTGTTGGAAAATTTATGTTGAAATTTTTTATTCTTGTTCCTTACTTTTTTTGGATTGAAATGAGCAATTTCTTTTTTTGTTTATTTAAACTTGAAATAAGCATTTCTTTGTTATTGCAATAAAAGCATAATTTCAAAGTAAATCTCAAAGCATATTCTTAAACTTTAAACAAAGTATTATTACATATGTACTTGTATTGGAGAAATTGTTGAGTAAAGTCTCAAATTGATAAGATTTTGATAGCTATATAAAAAAAAATCAATTAAAACAATGTGACTTTTGAAACTTTGTTCATATACATGCCTCTAAAACATATATGCATGTGTATGTGTGTTAAATACCAATAATTGCTTTTTAGGACTTTAATTGTTTATATTCAATTTAATATACTAATAATTATATTTTTTGGACCTTTATGATGATGCAATTAAGGTTGAAACAAATGGACAAAAATCACTTTTTGATGTATTCTCATTTAGATGTAAATGGATACATTAGTCAAAACTTTTATGATGGTGTAAAGAAATTTATTGGATATACTTATTCTCAAATATACTTTGTAAGTAATAGAAAGATTAGATGTTCTTGTACCCAATGTGATAACAAATGGTGTTTAAAAGGAGATGCTATGCATGAGCACTTTTATTATAACAGTTACTCTTAGTTATAAGAGTTGGGTCTCACATGGAGAGTTAGAACTAGGACAACCATCAATAAGTAGGGATACCTTTGAACTGATTAGTAAAGTAAAAATAGAAAATTCATATACTAGAATAGTTATGGATTTTGTCTATCCTAATTTTGGGGTGGATGCTTTTTATGCTATTGAGGCAAGAGTTGATAAGAAAAATCTAAGTGCAGACACAACAAGTTTCTATTCTTTATTAAATGATATAGATGAACTATTATGGTTAGACTGTACGAAGCAAACAATCCTCTTTATTATATCACAACTTTTAAAAAATAAATTAGAATTTAACATGATGAGTCATGTTTAATCGTCTGATGAGCATAGTGAAAGATATGTCAGCGGTGGATGATAAATTACTAGAAAACTTCTATAAAATGAAAAAAAAATGATGAAACTTAAACTTGGTTATAAAAAAATTCATGTATGCGAAAAAATTACATGTTGTTTTTAAGGAAGCAGCAAAATTGATATAGTATTCAGTATATGGTCATCCTCGATATTTAAAGAATAAGTCTAGTCGTGAGAGGAAAAAACATATTCTTTATAAAATCTTATGTTATATGCCACTAATAGCAAGATTTCAATGATTTTATATATCAACGAAAATTGATGAATATATGACATGGCATAACTATAATCAAAGTCATGATAATGTGCTTTGATATCTTGTTAATGGTGAAGCTTGGAACATTTTAATCGCAACTATGAATTATTTGCACTTGAAAGTTTGAAATGTAAGATTAGGATTATGTGAGGATGGTTTTTGTCCATTTTGGTATAAGTGTGAAACCATACTCTTGTTAGTAGTAATGATAGTGGTATACAGTTTGCCACCATGGTTGTGTATGAAGCAAAGATATATCTTGTTGAATATGGTCATTCTAGGAAAGAGTAGTCTAGGTCAAAATATAAATATTTTATTAAGACCTTTAATAGTTGGGTTAAAAATATTGTGGTCGAATGGTGTTTTAACTTATGATGCTTATAAAAAAAATAAAAATTTCATTTAAGGGTAGCTCTTTTATGAACAATTAATTATTTTCCTATATTTGATATGTCATCTAGATGGAACACTCATGGAATCTTATCGTGTCTTTATTGCATAGGACAAAAAAAGTTTTTTTGATTGGCTCATGGTAAGAAGCCTTACTTTTTAGATTGTCATTGTCAGTTTTTGCCTCATTATCATCTTTTTAGAAGGCAAAGAGATAATTTTCAAAAGAGGGTCGAGCGTGACTCCCCTATTATTTGGTGCCTAACTCAATTAAGGAGGCAATTACTAAGCTATCTTATTTTTTCAGAGATATGTGTTATACTGAAATATATATAAATCATATGAAAGTGTTGAAAAAAATATTGTAGAAATAATTTACAAATTAGAGAAGATTTTTTCTCTTAATTTTTTTATTATATGGAGCATTTGTCGATTCACCTGCCTAAGAGGCAAAAATTGATGGACTTGTTCATTGTTGATGGACATATCCATTTGAAAGGTAATAAATTTTAGTCGTTAGACATTAATGTTGATTAATTTAATTTTTCTTCAATAACATTTATGTTATGCTATGATAATGACTAGATTTTTTCATTATCTGAAGAAACAAATACACTAATCGAGCATTTGTTTAAACATCTATATGTGAGGCATATGTTATTAAAGAGATATCCTTTTTTTTGCTCATTATATTTTGATCCAAATGTGTCAATAAGATTGAATTGAGTTCCACGTACTGATGATGGGGGAGTTGTGGAATCTAAAGGTATTTTTTCAGTATTCACTCATCTTGGCTAAGCATGAGTCCACAAAATAAATCTCAATTTCTATTAGCAAATGAGCATACTGAGGCACACTTATATGTTTTATTGAATTGTGAAAAGATGAATCCTTACATTGAGTAAGTACTATATCAACTCTATATGTATGTTTCTAGTAAGTTGACAAATTTTCTAATTCGTAATTTACAATTATAGGATATTTGATAACTCGATAAGAAGAGAATTTATGAATATAA